TTTAATAGGTCATTATTTTGGGCAGCGTCATCAGACATAGATTCTGATCATTACATTTGAAAGGAGACATCCTGAAATAAAGGAATATGTTATCATTCTATTTCTGTGTCATTTTTTCTCACATCCAGGGCAACATGAGTAAAAAGTGGCTCATCTTACCTCACTCTCCCCTAATATTAAAACTAACTAGCTGCCGCCATCGTTGGAAACTGAGCTGGGCTGCGCTATGAATTCTGGGACACAGCTTCTTCTTCTTCTTCGGGGTTTAACGGCAGCTGGCATCCTTGTACATGCAGTGCTGCCATCTTCTGTTTCGGTCCGTTATTACACTCTTAAATCCTACTACCGTACTTATTCCCGCGTCTTTTGGGATCTTACAAAGCTTCAAACGACGCGTCGACTATTAAACTAGTCGTTGACGATTTTGATAGTCGACGTAATCGTGACTAGTCGACTAATCGTGGCAGCGCTACATGTAATTACAGGACTCATTGACGGACTGTTATGAAAACAATCATTTTCTTTGTCATAAACTAAACTTTATGACAAAGTTCAAATGAGGGATTTTTGCTTGTCTCGTGTCAAAGCTTGTTGCTCAGCTCCAGCGTTTCATTTGCACTGAAACTGTCAGCCAACAGTGTTTACATGGGCACATAAACACATTAATAGCGACGGTTGTCAAAAATAATGATTAGTACTAAAAAATATTAATACATTTTGTATGAATGATTTTGTATGAATATTGTGCTGAATGATGGAGTATAAGATAGACTTGAGATAGACTGGCCGACCTACACATTAACCCCACAGCTGTCGTTTGGCCGTGGACATCCATCACAGATGCATTTATGAAAGTCTGCATCTACTGAGTCAGCAGAGGGTAGGCAGAATTTATGTATTAGGCACCTCATTACTCTGCAACTCTCTGAGGTGTGCCACTCTGTGATTCCTAAACGCTTCCATTTTGTGATGATACCTCTTATCTTTGTTTGTGGGAGAGCAGACTGATTTACGGCATCATATTACAGGACTGACCCATTCTTCCAGATGTTTGTAAAGGTACACTGGATGGCTGGGGGCTTCGTTTTATGCACTTCTGACAAAGGAAGTAAAAACACCTGATTTCAAAGATCAATAGGTGCGGTGCAAACTTCTGTCGTCTTGACTGGTAGATTATATAAACTGTAGGAGCTCTGCAGTTTTAAAACTAAAAGGTGGAGAGTAGCAGGCATAGTGTTTGGGAGCAACAACATAGTGCATCCTATACAGTGCAGCTGGGAGTGCTCGGACCAAACAGCCACTCTATAAATGCATGGCACAACACACAAGAGTATATTTGCACCTAAAGGTTAAAAGTTACTCTTTGGAAGATGCCACATTTTGGTTTGGAAGAGGAGTAAAAGAGGCCGTCTTTGTAAACAGGCCGGTTCTGGTTTTACACTCATAGAGCTTTTTACAATTCCTACAAGCACTTCTGTCTACATCAGTCCTCTCTGTCTGACATTCACACATTCATACTGTTATGGATGCATCTCATGAGCAACATGGGCTTCGCGTCTTGCCCAAGGATACATGGCGGCTGGAGCAGCCAAACCACAAACCTTCTGATTAGTACTTGACCTGTTCTGCCTCCTGAGCTCGACGTATTCAGTAGCGAGGACAATTTATGACTGGACCTGTTGCAAGGTAACATCCAATCACAGTAGCACGCTGGGATTCTTCGAGTCTGTACGCCGACAAGCCTGATTTTACACATCTGTGGCCAGGAGACTGATCGGAACACCTGAATTCAATTATTTAGATGGGCGAGTAAATAATTATGGCAATATAGAGTATTGCAATAGTATATGTAGTGCTAACGTCAAGGTAAAAAGATGCAACTTCCTCCCCAGGACTGCAAACAAACTATACCTGGAACATTATTCAGTAAACTAGTTGATTGTGTTGCACTCCAGATTTTACTGGAATAACAATAAGGACTCCTGGCCATATTTTCCACGACAGAGGAAATCGGTCATCACTGAAGGAAACAGGGTGGCTGATTCTGGACAGCGCTGGGAGAAAATCCCACAGATTTCTCTGCCATCCTCTTTCTGTATAGAAAGGCACATCTGTGCTCATGTCCCATTAATAATGACAGTTTATACTCACAGTGCTAAACAAAGAGACAAGCTACATCACCCTGGGCCTGTCTGGAAACAGATCC